GTCCGTCACACCTGTTCAAAAATTTTAAAATGATAAATCAAAACTCTTTTTTCTTTCTTCTCATTTCGAATAACCCTCCCCGTGACTTCCCATTTAAATCAACGCTTATAATTTAAAATGATCTTTTTAGTTATTATAAATATTTAATGATCCATAACCTTAATAATTTATACTCGTATATAACAAAAATAAGCGCAATTCATCGATAACTCAGTCTACGTGTGTTACTACAGATGAATTCAGATCGAACATTTTCTCCAATATAAAATATATGATCCATGAAATCGCTATACTCACCTCCAAAAACAAAACCAAAACAGAACGGTATCTAAGTAAATTTTTTGTTATTTAACATGAGAAGGGTCAAAATCTCAAAAAGTTAAATAGTATGCAATTTGAGCACGAATTGAGCTAGTCATAATTATGTTATATTCATATATAATATGTATGTACGTACATACATATTTTAGTATTTCCGTGTTACGACTATAAGTTTATATGTATATATGAGCATAAGAAAATTAAAAAAATGGTAATATGTACTGACTTTGATTTTCACTTTTCTTTTTATTTATAACTTCTGTTTTCATATATGTATGTACTCGTAGTTATTAGAAAAAAATATGCTAGGTAAAATACAATGAAATTGAGTTTTTATCATATGCGCCTGCTGAAAAGTTTCCAGATAAATAATTAATATTACGTACATAACTACAAGTATATGACTTTTTTCTTTTTTAAATTATGTGCAAGGCCAGAAATATATAAAGCAGTATTTGATTACATTTATGTTTCGTATATTAGCAACAGTGATATAAAATGAGAATTCTATGTGAAAGTAATGTGATTAATCTTAAAATATTGGATGTTGAAGACAAAATTTAGTTGAACTTTTTTAATTCATTGGTAAAGAGAAAGAAATCCATTGCGATATTTCTTATAAAAATGAAGGTTTACCCAAAATATAAATATTTAAAAGAAAAAAATTAATTCAATTTGTCCTTGTTTAAGTTGGAAATTTAATTTCAAACTTAATTGGTAATAAATTGAACGAAATTTGCAAGACTCACAAAGATCTTTTTAACAGTAAATAACATTATTTACTAACTTTCGTAATGAAAAGCTTTTAAAATTAAAAAATAATTAAGGCAATGATAAGTGAGTCATCAATATTTTATTATTCTACACGTTCAAGGACATCCAAATAAGCCAGAGCGTGCTATCTTCCCGGTATGAGCAGTGTTTCTCAGCGGGATCCGCATGCAATGTGTCGCATCGCATTTCACAGAAAGGAAATATAAAATTGGTATAGTACTTTAAATGTTTAAAAAAAAACTTGTAAAAGCATTCTAAACGTTTTATTTCTCAAAGCATGTGCTCCGAGACTTTTTTTGATTTTAAGCAGAATTTAGTGTTGCTGAAACAATCTTTAAAGCAAATAAGGGGCCTTACTATGTAATTCAATTTTGTGAAATGATTTTCGTAATCGGAAAAATGGCAAGGTAGCAAAATGGCAAACATTTTGGGTGGTATTAGCTTTCTATATTTGCAAATACGAAAATCCAATTACATAGTAAGGCCTAAGCGCTTGATTTATCTCATTAGAGAGTGTGTCATGGGCACTAGAAAGTATTTATAGTAGTTGTAGGACGCAATACTTATTTTGCACGCAATCAAATTTGTTTTTTTGAGGAATCACGAATGAAAACAGGTTGGGAACCATTACTTTAGACAAAGTCAATACTGCATACTGGTAGGAGTTATGCCATTTTCTTTTCTTTTATATTCTCTATGCCACTCTACGTCCCGCACTCTTTTCATATGTAGCTGCTATTTTCGAAACAGTTTCAAAACATTCAACGCTATTTTAGATATCGTTCACTATTCGTTATTGTTTTTATATTTTGAAATTCTAGACAAACTCAACTGCTTTGATTAGTGCAAGATCCTTGTAAATCTTCATTAGCTGTATAAAGATAATTTCACAAATTACCAAAAATTTATATTTTAAAGTCTTTTTTGGATTTTTAATTCTTTCATTTTACACGCTGTGACGTCACAAATTATAAATCAATTTTTGAGGGTAATTTAGCATGTTACGAAATTTCAATAAATATACATACACATGTATATATTTGCATGCACAAAGACAGTATAATATATAAGTATATGTAATTAAACACAATACATAATTTATTGTTTAAAATAAAACAATATATTCTTTTATTCTTGTATATTTTTCTAAATTCTTATCACAGTCCTTATCACAATTCACATGTATACATAAACATATGTATGTGCAAATGTGCGTAGTGCATATTATGGATGTGTTAAAACGATAAAGCAAAAATATTTTGAATAAATAAAGAAAAAAAAACAATGTAATAAAAATGCGAGATAAACCTAACACAATCTTCTTAAAAATATTGCGATTTGTGTTCAGAACAATCAAAAATTTCATTGGCAATATCAATGTAAGTTAAGGATCAAATAAAATTTCTTGATAACATTCTTCTTCATTTATTGTTGCTGATGATAACATACAATAGATCATTTTTGTGGTATAAAACTGCAGACAGAATTTAGTCATACTTGGTACCGACCTACCATCTACATGCACTTAAATTTAGTAGAAACTGTGTTTTTAAAATAAGGAAAAGCATTTGAAGGAAACACTTACCTACATATTATATATGTACATAATTTTGTAAATATTGGTGTGGACATGAAACTCTTAAAATTTTTATTGTTTTACTTTTTTAAACTCACATTTGCTGATTCGGTTACTGAGTCAACTAATTTAAGTGAATTAAATGGTTACTTAAAAATAAATTCAGATAAAACATATACTCGTAACATAAAAGAAGGTGACCTTTTGCAATGCAACGTTCAAGAAGTCGACTCCCAAACCATATTTGGAAAAAACAAAGGTAAAGTTTTAATTTCAAAGAAAAGCATTTTAATTTTTGTTCTAAAATTCTTTATGTTTTAACAGTTGAAAAAACCAAGAAAAGTAATATTTTTAAGTATCATAATGCATCTATATCCAAAAATCAATGCATTTCATTTGCGGTTAAAGCTGACCGTGAAATTACAATTGCTTTAGCTGATTCTAGAAAAGAAGAGGTATATGAAATATTTTTGGGATTAGGTGAAAAAACTAATTTTTATTCAAAAATCCGTCATTTAAATATTGGATCTAAATACAATGATAGTCAAAATTTTGAAACCAATAATATTCTTAGTGAATTTTTTTATCAACATTTTTGGTTAAGTTGGTACAAAGATAAGATTAAAATTGGATACTTTTATAAAAATGAGCCTCTTATGGAAATGAATGTAAAAAAAATATTTCAAATAGAGTATATTGGTTTGAGGGGTGCTCAATCTGATGCTGAATGGATCATTCTCGAACCCAACTGTCCTGAAAATTATATGAATAAAACAAATGATATTATAGCAACAAAATGTTTTAAAATTCAAAACGAAAAATTTTTCGTTGAAAACCGTTTACAAAATATCTTGCTACAACAAATGATTTTAGACTTTGAAAACTTTAAAAATTTATCTGAAAATCGAAAAACACCATCATTTTTAAAAAGATGTCTTACTGATTTAGAAGAAAACTATTCAAAAGCTAAAGAATACAATGAAAAAATCCTTGGTAATGTTTTATTAGATGAAAGAGAATTGCAGAGTTATATTGACAATGAAATATTTATAAAAATTAAAAAAATATTTTTTGAACATTTCTACCTACTTCAAAAAGAAGAAAGTCATGAAATTATTCCTCAAACATCTAGTTCCAACATATCAGCATTTCCAAAATTCGAACATAATTTCAAACCTCCGTTAGAGATGGGATTTATTTATTTTAGCATATCAATTGATAATAGCAAGCTTGTTTATGTTGAACTATTATTGGATACTAAAGAACGAATTGAAATATCAATAGGAAATTTAAACAGTTCTATTTCAGTGTTAAACGCTAACAACAAATTGAGAGATCTCAACATTATACAAACAGCAAATTTCATGGATAGTCAAAAAAATAATTTTCAAAATAATTTTGGATTCTGGCTTCAATTAAGTATTAATAACACAATTCTTGTTGGTCGGCAAGAGGAATCAAAAGAATTTTTGCAGCTCAGTATGTCCAAAACATTTAAAATCATCTCACTGGAGCTATCCAGATATGCTAATATCAACGGTTTTAATTTACGTTACGAATAAAATTTTCGAATACTGACATTTACAATACAAATATAAGCGGTTTCAATAAACAAAAATTATAGTTTGTGTTGATGGATTTGTAAATTTTAGCATTATTTTTTATAAACATAAAAACGGATCCATTTTAAAATTCGTGCATATATTATATAAATATAGCCAATTTTTTTCTTAAAAATTAAAATTAATTTTTAAAAATTGTGATGTACTTTATACTTTTTCTTTATAGCTTATTTCAATAAAAATATGAGTTTTTTTGAAATTATAAAAAGCTCTGAAAAGCGCTATTCAAGAGTTTGAAAGCACAGTATAATTTCGTATCCGAAGTACTTTCGGAATGGAAAGCGTTCGAAAAACTAAAATTTTACCAAAATCTCATATAAAATTATACATATATGATTTCAATTTTTTGTTCAGATTTTTGCTAAAATAATAAAATGTGAAAATATCTTAGAACATCAAAACAGATTTATTTTTTTCACATAATTTGTAGGTTCGAAAGCAAATATATTATTCGAAATTCTGCTCACATATCGATTGGAAACTTGTATCTATTGAGAAACAAGATTTGTCCTTCTATGTATATCTTCCTCTTTTCCAGAGAGAGTTTCATTACAATTCTAGCTGCTTAAGGAATGATTGAATTCTAATCCGCAAAAATATCAACACATTTAACGCATAAAATTTTACCTAACCAAAACTCCCAACGACACATCATTTTGCGTTATTCATATTGCGATAAATAAAAGCAGCACTTTTTTAATTTGAATAATTTTATTTTTTATTTAAATATATTCTATCTCCTTTTTTTTCTTAATTTTTTTTAAGTTTTTTCGTTTACTGATCTTTCCACTTTCATGTCTCTTTATTAGCTTTTTTTTATTTTTATTCTTTATTTTTTCATTTCCTTTTCTGGTTTTATTTTGAATATTTTCTTTTTTTATCCTTACAAAAGTGCCAACATTTTCATCGGTATCAGAAGATTCTTGATTTGAATTAATTTTTACATTATTCAACTCTAAGTTGTCTTCATATTCGACAGCAACATGCTGTAAGTTTCTGAAAGTGGCTTTTGATGCAGTGGTTTCTTTATTTTTTGGCGTCACTTCTGCAATTTCAGATTCTGTCAACAAATAATCCTTTTTGAAATGTTGTAAATTTAACAGCGCCATACATGTTGGCCTACAGCCAATATTTACTGATGTAATTTTTTTTAGACTTAGGTTATCAATGGATATGTTCCACAGGGCTATTTCTCCAGAGCTAAAATTATACATAATGACTTTCACAGTTTATTTAAATTTTACATTTAAAATTAACACAAAAACTTTATGTGTATAATATAATTATGTATGTACATACATATGCATAAGTTTCTAAAGCAAATATTTTATTTAAAAGCATTAGATACCTGTTAGGTAAGGAAAATTTAATTTACAACTTTTATACCTATTTAAAAAAGTTGCTTTTCAATTTGGATTTTTTACATTAATAAAAATATCTTATTGACCGGAGAAAAAAAATTTTGTACATATAAAAAATATCTCCAAAACTTTATTCTATACGTTAAAATACGGACAAAAATATTTAACAGGAGAAATAACTATCGTAATTAAAAGAACATTAATTTTGATGGGCCCGATTTTTTTAAAAATTGGCAGAAATTATTAACTTTAAAGAAAATGATGACCTATTTATAACATAAACGTTTCGGTTGGTATGAACCCTGCACCTTGACAATCTGAATTTTAAAATTTGTTTTTGAAATATCAAGATTTAGATTTTACTGTTGTATGCCATGTACTCGAAACTGTCAAACCAATCCATGGAAAGTGCACGAATGTGTTTGACCTATAATTGGACACACAACTGCCAGTTTCATTAATTTAATTTAAGCATTTTCGCAAATAATAAAAATTTCCTTTTGAAATTGTATGGCAGCTACCCGAACCTGTCAAATCATTCCAACAATACTTCAAGGATATATATGGCCAACTATGGGACAAATACATGCCAAGTTTCATGAATATAGCTTTATTACTTTTCCGAATTTATAGAATTGGCATTACGAGTTACGAGTCGCCATACCTACCCGAACAAGTATAGCCATTCCAATAAAATTTTTAAAACATTATATAGAATAAAATTGAACACACCTTTGCAAAATTTGTTATTAATATCTCTATTAGTTTTTGAAATATTTAAAAAATCTCTTTGAGTTTTACGGTCCTATTACAATAACAGCCACCTTTGACTGAAAAGAAACAACTTGTGAAAGTTTGGTGTCGATTGGCTTATTCGTTTTTAAGTTATCCTGCGATCAGACTGACAGACGAACGTACATGGCTAAATCAATGCAGAATTTTACACTGAGTAAGAATATATATACATGTCCATACCGGAGACGACTCCATCAAGTGATTACGAACTCAGTGAATATGCCCTTGCCGAAGGTGCAAGGTATAAAAAGAACTTCAATTTTATTTTGATTTTACAAGATCATATAAAATTTTTAATATCAGATGATATTTAATATAGACAAACATGTAAAATAACAAAAAATAATTTCCGTAAAATTTAACTAGAAAAACTAAAAAGGAATACCACTGATGTCTAGGTGATTCCTCAATGGTATCGAAGATATTACTGCTTTATAAGTAATTGTAGTTTCATAATTGGAATACAAATCTACACTTTTATTACAACCTAATAGGAATATCTACATCTAAACACAATTTAGGTTGTATTAAGATGTAAATGTTTCCATTAGCTATATTTAAACTGTTTTCAGCACTTTCATGTTTCCATGTTTACCTGATGCTATTTGTAGATAATTTAAAAATTACTCATATATTTCTAAAATGGAAAATTACCTGGATGCTGTAGCCAAAATATTGTTACAATGCGAAATGCATTTTATACGCTTTTCGTCAACTTCTGTATATATCTCTTTATCTTTTAAATGAATTGTAGATAAAATAACCTTTCCATTTTCTAAACCAATTGCAAAACTTTCTTCAGTAATCCAACATAGACACACTGGCTTTGATTGTAATTTAATTTCTTTTTCAGTTTTTTTATTTTCTATACTTATCAGCTCAACAACTCTTAAGCCCGACAAAAGAAAATAATTGCCCTTAGGTGACCATTCAATGCACTCTGGTGATTTTCCTAAGTGCTCTTTTGATTTCAGATTAGTTTTAAAAACACAACGGCCAGTTAATAAATTCCACGTTCTGGCAACAAAGTCTTGCCCTAATGACAGCACAAGTTTACCACTTGGATGACATGATATATGTTTAACTGCTGATCCATCATGTGCTTTTTCCCAATTGCCATCAATATTCCAAGACCCTACACGAATGGCAAGCATACGGCCATCTTCAGCGCCAGATAATAATTGCTTTGAATTTGGCGTAAATTTTAATGTGTTTATCGTTCCAGTGTGATTAATTAATATTTGAACTTCTTTTCGTTGTTTCATATCGAAAATGAATATCTTATCGTCTGCACCTCCAGATGCTAAATATTTTTCCGAAACAGCAACGGCTCGAACGGATGCAGTGTGCGACTTTGAAGAAAATGTTGGTAATAGCATATATTGATCCTAAAAAATATCCGACTTTCAATTTAAGATTACAAAGAATGATTTTATTACATTTTTGAATTTAGCTTTATATCCAAGAAGGAACTCCTCGTATGTGCCAATAATTATTTCAATATCTTCAATCATAATTTTAAAAAATAGCTTATTTAAAAGTTTATATTTATACCTAATTGTTTTATTTCAAAAACAAAATTTCCTAAAACTCAAAAAATTTAAAGAAATAAAAAGCACGTTTGTTTGTTATTGATTTCATTTCAATATAAAATAGTCATGGGAAATATTTATCGATGCTCGATGTATCGAAAGTACATTTCAATACATCATTGATAATTAAAATTTTTAATATTTACTTATTTTATTTCATTAAGTAATGAAAGTTAAAAAAACAACAAAATATTTTAAATTGAAATAATATTGTATTGAACTGTATAGAACGTTTTTAATGTTTAAAATTCTATGTCATTATCCCAACTATTAGTATTTTAATATAACTGGCTTGTATAAAATTTAAAACATTCTCATTAAAACTAAAAAAGAAACTTCATTATTCAGACTTACTTAATTTTCATCATCATACAATATTTCAAGATTGCATCTGTAATATTTAGCTAGCCAAAAAGTTTCGAAAGTTAAATAAAAAGCAACAAACAACATAGTTTAATGCGTGTATCTCGCTTTTTTACTCACTTTTTATACCCTTTCAAATCAGGACCATCCGTATTTTCTAATGAATGGTTCACTTTTGCATTTTTTCTCAAATTATCGATCCTATTATACATAGGGTAGGAGTCTGTCATAATTTTTTTATCACTCACATTTTGGCGAATCTATTATTCATCTCTGGTATCTTCGCTAAAGAATGAACTTTCAAAAATTGGTGTCATCATTAAAAAAAATTAGTGATGCAACTTCTTACTATTAACTAATATCTTCGGTGAAAGTATTAGGTCTGTGTGGTATAAGAAAGTTTTTAAAAACTTTTAAAAACTTTATAAAGTTCTTGCATGCGAACTGTCCGGGATAGTACTTTTTTAACAAAAATGAGAAAAAATGATGACATTCTCATTTTAAAGTTTTTTCAAGTTTTGTAAAGTAAAATTAATTGTGTTTTAAAAAATTTTCAAATCTTACCGCTGTCTAAACTTGGCTATGTTTTCTTGGTTATGTCACAAGGTTTTATTTTTGAAAAAAAAAATTATTCATTAACAATACCTTTGTTTTCAAAACTTTTCAATTAAAAATAAAATAATACCATCAAAATGGGTTCAAAAATGGTTTTTTCTAAATTTCACCCTTTAATATTCCAAAATCAAAATTTTTGGTTTTTGGTATAGCCAAAAAATATTTGTTTACGTTTGATTATTACTTTGAAATATGATGTTTTTCGCATATTTATAAAGTTTTTAAAGGTTTTTACAAGCTTTCTGTCTGGTTTATTTTTTCATTAAATGAGAATTTTTTCTTTTTCGCTTGTTGAAATTTTGTCAATGTTTCTCTTTTTAAAGTTTTATTGCAGACAGACCTATTATGTATACGTATTATGTATACGAGTAGAAGTTTTTCCCTTGCAGACATTTTATCTTTCATTAACTTTTTTTTGGCAAAAATGACAAAGACTATAGTAAGATTTCTATGAGCTTAAAGTAAATGTTGTTTCTTGAAACTTTTCAGAATGAAAAACACAAATCCTAAATTTTGTTGATAAATATTTTTCTGTTTACTTATTTAAGCTACTAATATTTTGAATCCACTTTTTCCTTAAATTAAAACTAAGTCATTAAGATACCTGTGTGTTGCAGGTTTTAATTTTAACTGCCATAGTATTAAACGATTGTAATATATTGACGTAAAAGGCATCTATAATTTCGGTATTTGGAACTATCTAACAAAACTAGACTAAACTTTTTATATATTTTTTTAAACTATTCAAATTTTCCAAAATCAAAAATAAATTTTATAATAACAGGTACTAAGCGTGTACATGTTTTTTTCCCTAAAAGTAGTTAAACAATTTTTTATTTTCATTAAAAATTATTAATTTAGGTAGCATATATACATCAAGCGAAATCTGGTGATTCAATTTGACCACGATGAAATCGGATGAGAAATTCTGTTTACACATTGAACTTTATTCTTTAAATATGTTGTCAAATTAAACTTCTATTATTTATTACAGTGTAGTTCTAAGTATGTAAGATCTGCGTTGATAAAAATGACAAACATGCGACACAAATCATATTTAATATAGGATTAAATCTGAATCTGATGAAAATCTGTTGTGTAATAAAATGTGATATTAGATAAAATCTAATGAAAAATAGAAACATATCCGGTTATCTGTGAGATTTTTAAAAATAAATGTTCATGGCGAAAAGTAAATTAAAAGTTTTGCCAGGATCATTTGATTTTTGGTTTTTTTTCAACTTTTGTTGCCAGTTTATAAATTACAAAATTTTAAAAACAAAGTGTTCAAAACTTTAACGTAAAAGTATAGATAGAATCTGATGTGCAGATTGTCTGATCCTAGATTTAGTCTGAGGGTAACTGGCACTTAATTTATGTTTTCGAAATAGCAAAATACTGACTATAACTTTTTTGTCATTTAAAAATTTAGAAAGTATTTATTTTATTTTAATAAGTTCAAAAGTTGAGCAAAAAATAAAATGGCAAGAATTAAATTCTTTCATATGACTGGATCGTCAACGCAATCAAAAATTGCAATTATTTGGTATAACTAGTACAGTACAGGAAAACAAAATTAACATAACATTTAAAAACCCCTGCAGCAAAGTTTAAGTAGATTCAACTTGAGAGAGAGAAAAAAGCTGCAAAAAGAGAATGTCAAAATTTATTTTTTTTTCATTTCTCCAAAATCAAATGTTTATCATTTTATCAAGAAGTCGCCTCACGTATTGGATATGAATCGTTGCATGACGCGCCACCTTAAAAAATAGCATTCCTATTTGTCAAAATATATAAGATATTATGTTATATTTCCGATTAATGTAGTTACGTTACGTATGGACTTGTATTGTGGCATGTGATATGCCAATTTATTGACAGACTATAATTGACATCAAATATTATAGAGTTGTATTTGTTAAAATACTTAGCTGTTAAATTTGTTAATTTCATAAGTTATGATATTTGTGCTTTCAAAATAAATTTAAAATTATGAAAACTTAAAACGCCTATATTGTGAAAAATGAAATAACCATTTCAGGGAAAAATGCTGTTTATTAATTTTATGTTATATATTTTATACATCTTAGATGTTGGCGAATGCTTAGGAGTAAATAAAAAATTGAAAGGTAAATTCTGAAAAAAATAAAAAAGTAGAAAAAATATAGCTTTTACTTATTGTAGTAAGTTACCTACTTCCTGGAGAAATTATTCATTTTGTACCAGACGAAAAACGAAGGGGCTTTTTTGAATCAGATATAAGGATATATTGTTATGAAGGAACGCAAAAAAAGATTACGAATTATTTTCAAACTGTGAATTTCCAAATAGATATTGAAAATATAGATGATTTTACACAGTATGAAGGCGAAACTGCAGAAATAGTCAAACAACATTATGAAGAACAGAAATCTTTATTTTCTTTCAACTTTTTTTCATACAAAAAGCCAAAAATGAGACTGAATCCATTCAATCAAACCTGTATAGGAATAGATACGTTGCAACCCTACACCATTCGTTTAAATTTAATTCGAGTTGATTTTTGGAAGTTTTTTACATTTTGTATCGTAATACTAATATTTCTATATTCAGCAAAGATGAGCCAAAATTCTTTATTCTACTATATAGCAGGCGTATCATTAGGCATTTGCGCGTCTTTTCTTATATTGTTTTACTTGGCGGGAAAATTATTTCCACGACGTTCAATGATGATTGGCATGGTTGCCGGTGGTTCAACTTTAGGTAAGCAAGCATATCAAAGTGTAAAAAAATTTGATTAAATAAACATTTTATTTTCCGATATTCATATTTTAGTATTTAACAAAACTTAATGAATAAATCACATATTTTCAATTTCCAGCTCTTTATGTTTTTCATTTAATTTGGGAAAATATTCAACTTATATTTGTATCATACAAAAATTATGTCATTGGATATGTTTTGGTTACTGGGTTTATTAGCTTTGTTCTGTGTTATCGTTTTGGACCTCCAAAGAACCAACGAAGTAAAGATTTAATTGAATGGTGCCTACAGATTACTTCTCTTTCTGTTATATATTTCTCCAGTTACTACACGGAAGCCAGTGTCGGAATTATTGTAATAATTTTAATTCTTTACTATTTTCCAAAGGAATGGATAAGGTACATTAGAGGCATATATAGAAAATGGTTTCCACCTCGACGAAGATATCTTACTTTAGCCGAATACAAGCAACAAGGAATTATTGAAACCGAAAAAGCTTTGGCAGAACTTCGTAAATATTGCAATAGTCCTGAATGTAAACAATGGAAAGTCATGACAAAATTAAAAAATCCTAAAAGATTTGCCTCATTTATTGAAGGTGAAGAACATTTGATGGATGAAGAAATTTTTGATCATGAAAATAGTAAATTAGAAACAGATTCTGAAGACAGCGACTATGATTTAGTTAATAAAAAAACAGTTCCTAAAAATGAAATTGATGAAGAAATAAGTGACGACGAGGAATATATTGTACCAATAAGAAATACCCAACATAGTATTTCAGCATCTCATATTTTTTCACCAAACCAAAATAAAAATTACTCGTATAGCTACAAAAATTCAAGTTATCCTCATGCGCATGTTAGTAGCAGTAATAAAAAATCTATAACCAGTAATAATTCTATACGTTCACCGAACTATATTTCACCGACAAATTTAAGAAATTCTCCTTATAGTCCAAGGAATGCAACTTCGAATTACATACGACGTACTCCAGATACTTCTAGAGTACACTATAGATCCTTTCGTGAATATAGTGACGAAGAAAGCTAATTTAAACATTTTAAATTTAATTTGTCGCCTTGCATAATTAATGATACGCTTTTTGACTTCTTACAAAAATGACTGCAAAAGTTTTTTTAGTTTATAAAAATTAATAATAGGGTTTAAGTACTTATTTAGTTAAAGGATTTTCTTAAATTATTAACATTTAGTTAGAAGCATTTTGAAAAATATTTTGTGACAATAAAAATAATTCATAAATATTAAATTTGTCTTAAATTTATTTTCCCCTTAGTATTTAAAAAGCATAATATAATTGGTTGCTAATATGTATATACATTTTTTAAATTATCAAGTGAGTTTAAATATCATTCTTGTACAAAATTACCAATTGAAAATTTGGAATTAAGTGTTATTTAATACAAAAATATTAAATGTTATTTAATACAAAATTGTTTACGATGAAAAAATTTTATGTTCTTTAAGGTTCAAGAATAAATTTCAAAACAAAACGAATAATTTTAATCTTAAAAAGCACATTTTTTTGAAGAAACTGTAAGTGCTATTTATGATTATGCAACACATTGATTAAAATTTAACAATGTCACACTTTTACATAAAGAAATCTAGCTGCAACATGTTGCTGGTGTTGGATCCAAACCGGACCTTTTCGTTATAGCTAACCTAGTGAACTCTTCTGCAGTTGTGGGATGTATTCCAACAGTGTTTAAAAGAATTTTCATGGTTAGTCCGGATCTACAAACAAAAAATTAATAAAGAATTATGGAATTAAAAAAATAAATTACTTTATCGCTGCACCAAATCCTTGCATAACTTCACCAGCAACTGGTCCAATATAATGCAAACCCAAAACTTTTTGATCGCCACTTCGTTCAGCAACAGCTTTCAAGTAGCAGTATCTAACACTCTTTTGTGGTATGAAGAACTCAGTAGGTTTATAAAAACCGTGATATACTTCCACATTATCAGCTCCATATTTTTCAATAGCCCTTTCTTCACTCATTCCAACGCAGGCATATTCAAGTGGGGAAAATACCGTTGTAGCAACGTCTGCATAATCCATTATTTGCGAAGAACCACTGAACATGCGTCTAGCTAACAATCGTCCAGCATGAATCGCCACAGGTGTTAATTCAGGTTTCCCCTTGATAATATCACCAACCGCAAATATGTGAGGAACATTTGTCTGCTCTTGTTCATTCACTACAATTTTATCGTCGGCAATTGAAGTAACACCGGCATTCTCCAATTTCAGATCTTCAACTAAACCCTTACGACCAACAGCAAACAATACTGTGTCATAAATCTCACTGCCAGTTTCATTAGTTTCGGTATTTTTCCACGAAATTAAAAGTCGTCCGTCTTTTTGTTTTTCAACAGAAGTAACAATCGCTTTATGTATGAAATTTATACCTTTTTCAACCATAGAGTCGGCCACGATGTTGGCCATTTGTTGATCAAAACCACGCAAAACAATTGATCGCACCATAACGGTGGCATCATATCCTAATCCTTTTAGAAAACCAGCACATTCCAACCCAATGTCTAAAATCACATTGCGAAGTCATCCAAGTTTCAAAAATGAAAAACGAAAAAAGAAAAAAAAAAACTTACATCCAGCACCAACCACAAGAGTTTTTCCTGGCTCTTTTTCTAAACTAAATATATCATCGCTGGTAATACCGTGTTCAATTGCACCTGGGGCATCCGGATATCTTGGTCTTCCACCTACAGCAATAACTATATTTTGTGCAGTTAATTCTTTTTCTGATTTGTTTTTCATAACAGCAACAACTGTATGCGGATCCTTAAAGTACCCTAAGCCATTAATATATTCAACTTTTCTATAAGTTTGAAAAATACAGAAAATACAGAAATTTCAAATATGTATGTATATAAAATTTGCAATAAATGTTGTGTACATATTTTGAAAATATTTAATAAATGCATTATTTCGTTCTATGTCATACAAATGCCATGCGAAGTGATACTTTTGAAACACCTCATAATTCGATTAGGTACCCTAACTTTTTATCGACTTGAAAAATGTTGTATAAAAGACAAATATGTAGTGTTTTTAATAAATATTTGAAATTTTAGATTTTAATACAGAAAGTATGTTATTGTTTAAAGGATATTGTTTTCCAATTTCACCAATAAACTTTGAAAATTTTTTAGAAAGACAAAAACAAGAATATAAAGATTAGTATAATTTTTCGGAATGTCCAATCTTTTAAATATTTCGAGATAAAAACCTAAATCAATTCATTACAACCTGTACAAACCGAAAACTTTTTACCAAATTAATGTAATCAAAATTATTTTTTATTTACATAAAACTAAATCGTCGTAACTTATTGCCTTTTCTGACTTCACGGCAACTACATATATTCAGGAACTCGATAACCTAACTGAATGTGGGTGGTCATTTTAATCCAATGAAAACTTACTTATCTCTCAAATCAACTTTGGTGACCCAATTAACTGATTTAACGTGATTTTGAACTGCTTCTGTTAATTTGCTCCAATTAGCTTTAACGTTTTGCTGTTCTGGAATTTCCCAACCGTATGTTGCAGCTTCCTAATTATAAAAGTGAAAATATTTAATTAATTAATACAAACGTTTGTATTTACGTTTTCCACTTACGTGAATGGACTCTCCAAGTATTGATGCTTGGTGCATTAATTTCTTTGGAATGCAGCCCACATTAACACATGTTCCACCAACCCCCCATTTAGTTCCAATAGGAGTAGGTTTAACGAAATCTAATACTGCAACTTTTGCACCATTTGCAACAGCTTCTTTTGCGCATGCTAAGCCTCCAGAACCTCCACCAATAACAATTAAGTCATACTGGTAACTGTCTATTAAGAAAAAATTATTTTCAAGACGGTTCGTATATATAGGCAGAATGTTTGTATTTTTATTTAACACATAATGTATGTATTTACAGATTTTTGTTTCTAACTGCAAATTAAAAATTTCTGTCTTATTTATAATGTTCGTAACTCATTTTTCATGTTACGGATATGCCAGTTGTATTTAATAGCATATATGTATTATACTATATTCTACATATATTTATCCTACAATTACATGCATATTTTATGGTCAATTCCAAATCAAATTTTATATGTTTTTATCCTTTAGAGTACCGGTTCTATCATTGGACCAGTACTTAAAAGATTGCAAATGAAAATTGAAAAATAGAAATTCTGTAAAATGATTTTTGTACTGTACTGTTTTAAGGCAAGGCTACTTTTCTGTAAGACTTTTTGGTGTAATCTTTAACATTTAAAATTATGAATTGTACGTTGATAAATATTAAATTCAACAAAGTAATGCGGTGTAGAGACCGTTCAGTAAGCCTCCAAGAAAATGTATTTTCCATTAAAATGTTCCAGCTTTATTTTGGTATAATCACAGATATTGATATTAGTATCTATTTTTCAGAGTTTAAAACTGCAATATACATAACATGTAGGTACATAATAGTGTAAGTATAGGTATCTAGAAATAGGTACTAGGTTTTTACTTAATACTGTTGTTAAAAAAGTTTTATGTTTTCATTTCGCGTTTTTTTTTCTGTTTGTTTTTTATTACTCGATCTGTAAACATTCACTTTTGACATTCTTTAGTTTTGAAATGTTGCCATGTGATAACTATTACAGTAGATGTATAATAAGAAAATTTACTCAAGTCAATGTTATATTATATTCCATAAATTTTTACCTCCAAATTAAATGTTGATGTTTATTAACATCAAAATTAATTTTAGAGTTTTTTTTTTGTACACATAAAATTTTAGGCTGTTTTCGGTAGATGAAAATAGTATTGTTTATGTAAAACAGGTGCTTTTGGAGTTTTATTTTTGCGTTTAAATTAAATATTTGAAATGAAATATTTTTCTTCATTAAATTGCATTTAATAACCTTATAGGAAAAAAATCTGATTATGATCAAAAAATTAAGTTTATATTTTACTAATGTACGGAAAAAGACCTTTTCATTTAAAAACTACGCATACAAATTCAAGAAGTAGTAATTATTTATAAATGGAATGCGATTAAGTTAATCATATATTACGTTTCATAATTTCACGTTTATGAATTTACAAAAACGGCAAGTCAAAAGGAAAATATTGAAATTTTGTGAAATTGATATGAATTGTTTTAAAGCTTATAGATAACTATTTTATTCAAGTTTTTTTTATATCTAACTATAATTAGTATTACTCAGCAAAATCATAATAAATTAACTTCATTTATTACGTAATAGCACGATATCTATTTATTGAAAAACAAATTTTACAAACTGTGTAAAGGTAAGGTTATTGATATAAAAAAAGATTGGATCTCGATTAGGTCTTTTTATCTAGAAGCGAAGTTTTTAAAAATTGGAATAAATTTTCTATTTTCGTATTTAAGTTGAGTACCTCCCTGAAAATCAATCTGTTTACTGAATGAATTAAATTACATATGAAAAAGTCCTTATGAGCAATGTACTTACGACTAGTTGCACTACTAAGAGATCTTTTCAAATAATTTTCACTTCGTCGTATTAAAGTCAAAGTTGCATTTTTGTTCCAAATGCTTAAAATTGACATTTTCGTATTTTAATACAAGATTATTCAAGTAAGTTTAAGATTCAAAATTTAATTCTTTTTAATTCGTCACTATGCAAACTTTTAAATATCTACATATATTCATACATATGCACATATTTACTTACATATGTAAGTAAAAGTAGGTATTACCATGTATGTATGTAAATATGTATGCTCAAATTATTGCTAGTTTATTGCGATTAACTTAAAAAGTATAAAAATTCCTTTAAAAAAAAATCTGGAAGAGCTTTTCAACTGGTATTAAAAATGAATCACTTATTTAATCCGGAATAATTATAGCTTGTATTAAAAAAAAATTACACTAAATTCTATAAACGTAATAGCTGGTTTTAGTAATCTGAGAAATTATTCACAGCGCAAATGTTAGGTTATGTTAAAAAATTCAGACGTTTTTAGACATTTTCAAATGTTTTAATGTCAATTCTATAGAACAATTTTCTTTTTGGTTTCAGATTTTATTTTGTCTCACTTGGAAAATGACGTCAATTTTAATAACTGGTTGCAATCGCGGTCTTGGACTTGGATTAGTTAAAGCTCTTAATAAATTACCACAACCACCCAAAATTATTGCAACTTGTCGCGATATTAAAAAAGCCGAGGTACGTATTGAAAACCAAATAGAAATTCTGCATAGGAAATCCAAGTATGTATTTATGTACACATAGTTCGATTTGCAATTGATTTCAATTTGTTTCTGTTTTCTCAAACGAACTATAATAATTGTAATCGGAAAAAAACTGGATAATAAACTTACGATCGCTAATCGGTGCCATTTTACTGTAAAGTTTTATCTGTTTTAATTTAAATAGCGAAACTAAACTAACTACTATAAAAACTCCAACACCGTGCTTGGCAATTGTTAAAAATTAACTAATTAATAACTTTAGAATTAAATTAGAAAAGTTATTTTTAAAGTACTGTACTCAGTACTATACTCGTATACTATACTACTATGACAAGTAAAGTTTTGACTGCTGAAATGTAGTGTTATTTAAATAGCGAAATTCTATTGAGCTTATGTCAGTTGTATCTGTATCTTTTATGTTTTCATTTTCTGAATATAATTTTGTAGTATAATACTCGTATCAGTCATTCGCACTTTGCCACAAGCTACATGAGTTAATATGGAAAAAAGCAACAACATAGTGCTACAAAACTGTATTGTGGTGAAACTTATTGTTTCCTTGGCGATAAACAGTATTACCAGGAATATTAAAATGCTAGTGTTTTTAATGAAATATTGGCATTTTGTATTTTGGTAATTTTCATGGATCTAATAATACATGGATAGCTGGCAAATAATTATTTTTTGAAGCTAACCCAGCATTTACACATACAAGTTACTTGCATGCATAACAGTGCTAAATAGTATAACAAAAATAGTAGCCCTAATAATTCATGATAGAATTGTAGAGAAGCTAAACAAGAATATAAGAGAAGAACAGGCGGGCTTTCGACAGAATAGGAGCTGCACGGAACATACAAACACAGTAAGATTGATAGTCGAGCAGTCAGTAGAATGGAATAGCCCCCTGTATGCTGCCTTCGTCGACTTCGAGCGTGCCTTCGACACAATCAGGCGTAATGCTATCTGGGCTGCACTCAAGAGAAACAGAATCCCTGCGAAACTAATACAAGTCATTAAGGCGCTTTACGATGACGCCGAATCAGTGGTGTTACACAATGGCAAGTTTAGTTCCCCCATCAAGACAACGGTAGGAGTCAGACAAGGATGCCCGCTGTCTCCGTTGTTGTTCATCACAGTGCTAGACCAATGTATGAGGGAGACAGCATCACTACGTAAGGGAATCAACTGGCAGCTTACACATAAGCTACAAAGCTTAGAATACGCCGATGACGTCGTGCTACTGGCTCACTCAGCCGAAGACATGCAGATGGTCATAAATAAGTTGGCTGAAAAAGCAGAAAAAATCGGTCACAAAATAAACACAACAAAAACAAAGCTCATGAGAATTAATGGCACGAGTCGAGCCCCCATCTGCATACAGGGTAGCCCCATTGAAGAAGTATCCGAGTTTGAATACCTGGGCAGCACAATAACAACGGATGGGGGAACTAATAAGGACATAGAGCACAGAATCACTAAGGCAAGATGTGCATTCGGCAGGTTGTGGGCAACCTGGAAGTCAACCCACATAGCACGCGGAACCAAGATAAGAATATTCAACGCGTGTGTTAAATCGGTGCTGCTTTACGGAAGTGAGACATGGTTGGTGTCCAAAGCTAATGTACAGAAGATCCAGGTCTTTGTAAACAAATGCCTCAAAATTATATGTAAAATATTCTGGCCAAGAAGAATTATGAACCAAGAGCTGTGGCTGATGACGAAACAAGATCCAATAAATATACAAATAAGAAGAAGAAAATGGAAGTGGATTGGCCACATTCTAAGGCGCCCAACAACATCGGTTGCGCGTCAGGCTCTTGAGTGGAGTCCCCAAGGAAAAAGAAATGTGGGGAGGCCAAAGGAGACCTGGAGAAGAAGTGTAAATAAGGAGCTAGAACAATCAGGCAAAACATGGGCCGAAATAAAAAGATTGGCACAAAACCGAGAAAGTTGGAGAGGCTATGTTGAAGCCCTATGTTCCCAAGGGGAATAACAAGGAAACAAAAAAAAAAAAAAAATTAGTTTTTCCAAATGTCAAATTACTTGCTATTATGACGTAGGCGTTTAGCAAGTTAATTTTTGAAAATGTCTTTGAGAAGAAAACAACTAGCAATATATATAATTGTTTATAAATTTTAGAAACCATAAGTTTGCTAAGTTTAATTTTTTCAAAACAAAATTCAAAAATTTTAAATTAAAAAAAAAATCAAAACAACAAATTTTTTTTTGTGAATTTCTCAATATGTCAAATTACTTGCTCAAATTACTGGCAGCAAAATTTTCTTGCAAGTTGAACTGCAAGTAAACAAGCAAGTAGAAATATTTCAATGTGTTAGTAAAATTTTTGTATGTATTGCAACTTTCTTGCAAGTAACTTGTACGTGTAAATGCTGGGTAACATAAAATACGTTCCTTTTTTCTTTTTATTTTTTACAACATAAAAAGTGTTACCAGAAACGGTTTGAAAATATGGTTAGAATATTTTAATATAGGTAGAAATGCGTGAGTTATTTTTTTCAGTAAAAAATTTATAATTTTCCAACAATTTAAAACAAAATAGTTTTTGTTAGATGTTGACGAATATTTTTTTCTTAAATCTAATGTTAATCGTTTTCCTTCATGATAAAGTCTAATTTTTATGTTCTAAATTTTATGTCAAAAATAATAGATATCCTTATCCAAATTATGAACTTATCATTTTGAAAACTTTAAAATTAAATGAAAGGGATAACAGAACAAAGTCACTTGTATGATGTAATATAAACCGCCTCAAAAACTATAACTTTTATACACAAACTAGTGTAATAACACAATTTTTGAATTTCTTATTTTCAAGATGCTCTGTTTTAGGGTGTTATAAGTTTTCTACTTTTATAAAACGTACATACATATAAGAATTCAATCGTATAGTTTTGTGTTCATTTTTTCTTGTTGTTAAATATTTTTAAATTATTTGTGTACAGAAAGTGATAAAAAATGTTACTTCTAAATTTACCTTCACAATTCAAAAAAAAAATATATATATACATATATATTTCTTGCTGACAAAATTAATATTTTTAAAAAACTGCTTGACTTGACTTTACCAAACTTCATGATTTTACCAGAAAATAAAATTTAATTTTTTCAAAAAATTTTCCTTCGTAATATTTGCAAAAAAATCTTAATTTAAATATTTTTGCTTTTTACGAAAACGAAAATTTAAATAATATTAAAAAAAAATAGCTTTCAATTTAGTTGCATTTAAAACAAGACATTAAAACTTGACATTGTCAATTTGACGTAAAGGTAAACTGCGTTACGGGAGTGTACTTTATGTTTTTTTTACTAAGAAATGAAGAAGCTTATAGTGCTAGCTATCCATGGTAAATTTCAAGTTTATAAAAAAACTCAGCTTTCTTGAAAATAACCTCATTGGGTTATTTTTTTAACTTTTAGAGAGATTATAGATCTATTTTTTGTCTCGTGAAGGGATCTATATAAACAGAGAAATAATAAAAAAATTATTCTTTTATTTAATATAATGCGCCTTGTTTAATGCACTCGACAAGATAAAAAGCCGGGAATTCATTTGTTTTGTATCTACTTTCTACTTTTATAATGCGCTTAACGTAGCACCCTGAATTTATATTGAATTTGAGTAGTGTATACAAACCTCATTTATTCACTTTCCAAAAACCGTTACAACTTTTGTTAAGTACTAACTTTTTACTTAATTCAAAAATTGTACCTTCAGATCCAGTTGTAGTATATAAGAATGCACATATGTATATATTATGTATGGGTATTCTATATGAATTTTGACATTTCGCCACAGAAATTCGCCTTACTGTGTAATTTGACGAGATTCGTATTTTACAGAAATGGAAAGGTAGTACCATACAAATTGATTGGTACTACATTACCATTTTTCCGAATACGAAAATCGCTTCATGAAAATCCATTGGACACTTCTTCAAATTTGATATAAATTCAGCACTTAGCATTATGAAAGTTAAAGCAGTGGATACAAACCATAAATTTTGCTGTAAAAAATAAAATCCATGTTTTTATGTACTTACATATCTCATTCATAAACATTTTTAAAATGAAAATATTTCACACATACAAATGAAAAAGAGCTGTGTTTCCACTTCGGATTGTATCCACTTCTTCAACTTTCATAATGGACTTAATACATACGGTGAATTTATATTGAATTTGAAGAAGTATTATAAACCTTTTTTTGTTTTATTTAACATTTAAATGCAATTTTCATGATTGCACTTCCATTCGTTCCGTTTCAATACATTGTAGTTATTTATGCAAAGTAAAAATCCATGGAATCTATAAGGTTCTTACTAAAAAACAAAATTAATACTATTAATTCACCAATATTCATTAATTGTATATATAAATGTATACATACACACATACATATAATTTTATTAGTCATGAATATATATGTATTATTATTAATTTGTTTTGTTTGTAGGAACTAAAGCAGATATCAAGTGAGCATGGGAACGTACACATCTTGGAGATTGGTAAAAAAACTTATTTTAATTAATTCTTTGTATATACATATGTATGTATGTATAATTATGTTAATATACATACATACGTAGGTCTTAATGCATATCGTCACAAATTAAAGCTGATTAAGTATTGCAACATCTAAGGTGATCATATCTCCTTTTCCCAACAATCCCTTCTTTTAAAAAAAATACTTTCGATCTTTTTTAAGGCTACCGTCCTACATCTTCCGTATTAAGTTCTCATTTTTTAAAAAAAATCTATTATAAATTTCCCATCTATAGTTCCAAAAAAATAAAAACTGAATTCGTATTTCAAATACATATGTAGGTCTTTATGCGTTTTTAACATATATTTCTTGTGTATGTAAATAAGTACATACCTTCATACATAATGATTAAATACAATCGCAATCTAAGCACCAGGGGCTCACTCTGTATAATATTTTAATATGCACGTATATTTATATTTGTACTTCACACATTTACTAAACAAGTGAGTGCATATCTACTAAATGATAAAAATGGACATATGTACATACATATTTTATTTTGGAACTATATAGTTTAAATTTTGGAAAAAGTGCTTTTTAATTTTACTCTGTTCGTCCGTCCGTCCGTCTATCCGTGGATATGTTTACAAAACTTCTAATTCCGAAACAAGCTTTTCCAAATTCCTATAAGATAATGCAGAAAGTTAACGGTAATTCCCATGCCATCAAAAAGTATAATTATTTTTCTTTACTCACGCAATCAGCCCTTAAATTCGAGCATTATGTTATCGTCTCTTTAAATCTTTTTTTTGTTTTATATGTTTTAAAGATTGCATTATATTGAGATGTGTGTTGATAAATTTTTAAAATATGTTCGTATATGAATGAAAGCATTTTTAATAATGTAGTACATAGAAAGCAATACTTTTAATTGTTGAAGGAAAAAGTGCTACATTACGTTGTAGCACTTTTTTCTTCAACGATTTCTTTGTAATCTATCAAGAATTTTATTATTCAAAAACGAAATCCTACTATCTGAAAATATCTACATATTTTTATAAATAGTTTCTGGTACATATATAACATCCTAGCAAGACAAGTTTTCATCCTAGCATTTAATTTGCGATAGACCTTGATTACTCGATACTCTTAGCAAGTCGAAAAATCATTGCCCAAAACTATTCTTTAAAAACTTTTTTCGTTCTATTATTACACAAAACTTGAGGGTACTTTGCCTAATTTTGCCACAACATAAAAAAATGAATTGATACTTACCTAAACGTTTCGTTAAATACAAGAAAAATACATTTGCACGAACACTAATATTTTAAATAATATATTTAAAAAATATTTTAAATAAGTTTACGACTCTGAATTCTCAGTTCTTGTTTTTTTTTGTTTTTGAAAGTTAAATGTATGTATAATACCAGATAATTTTCCTTTAAGATTTGGTAAATATGGAGCAGTATGAAATACTTGTTGGCAAAGTGGATGCTATTGTAAAAAACGAAGGTCTTAATGTCTTATTTAACAATGCTGGTGTAGCTCCAAAGTCTACCAAAATAAATGTTGTTAAAGAAAAGGATCTTATAGATACTTTTGTGTGTAATACTGTCGTCCCCATAATGCTTACAAAAGTTTGTATATTACAATAAATTGATATGGTTTCAATAATTTGATCATAATCACACAAACGTAATATTTATTTTTTCTTAATATACCTATTTAAGGCGTTTCTTCCTTTACTTAAACGAGCATCGGAATTCAACAGTTCAAGACCCATGGGAATTAATCGTGCTGCTGTAATTAATATGTCCTCAATATTAGGTTCTATTGCTCAAAATGATAATGGAGGTTTATATGCATATAGAACCTCTAAGGTAAATGTGATAATGTAGATGTATTTTTACTTAAATTTTTTACTATTTTTTAAGACGGCGCTTAATGCTGCGACAAAATCTATGAGCATTGATTTACAAAACGACAAAATTTTATGTGTTGCGTTGCACCCTGGTTGGGTTAGGACCAGTATGGGAGGTAAAAATGCACCACTGGATGTTGAGACTAGTACTGAGGGTATAGTCAAAACAATTTTAAATTTTAATGAAAGAAATAATGGCGGATTTTTCCAATATGATGGCCAACAATTGCCATGGTAGTGCTACAAGCTATTTGGAGACCTAAAAAACATTTCGCGTAAAAGTAAACATTGAAATGTATTTTTAATTATTTTTTTGTTTTAATCGAAATAATTTTTTGTTTTCCAAAAATAAAACTATACTTTAACAAAATATTTTTTTTCGTTATGAATAAATAAAGAAATGCTATAATCAAATACAATAAGTTTTTTACTCTCATATATGCTGAATATTGGAAGCAGATTCAGATTGCGTTTCGCTATTGAGTAAAGCTTGCGATGTAGTATTAATATCACTGTAAGCCATTGGATTTACCGCTGGTATTAAAATATTGCCCAAATTTGAAAACGTTCCACTATTTGACGAACTCTCAAGTTCGGAATTATTTCTCTCATTTTTAATTGTTAAAATTATTTGACGTAATGCTGTGGCCCACTGCAGACAAAGGTTCGAATGGTTCACAACTAGAATTCTATGATTTTCAATGGCATCATTGAAGTTTTTTGATTGTAAAGCTAAAATAAAAATTGTAATCATCAATATTCTGATTAATTAAAAACATGTAAAGAAAAAACCTTTTGCTATGCATAAAAGCTGTTTGTGTACAGATTTATCTAATTCCTTATCCAACCACATCTGACTAAGTATATTCAGTCGTCGTTGTATTTCGTCAGTTCGCACGTTACTACTTTCGATAACGTTGGCCAAGTGGGTTTGGAAAGTATTTAAACAAAAGTCTCGGACTTCGTCTTCGTCGATTAAATCTTCATTATTACCAGGAACAACGCTTGCAGTTAAAGGTGGAACTCGATTTGTTTGTGGCGGCAAAAGAACTTGAGAGTGGGGCATTGGAGGCACTACAGCTACAGGCAATTGTGATGACTAAAGAGATATCTAATTACTTTATCCGATGTATGAATATATTGAAAATTACCTGTGTTGGAATTGCCGTTAGTGGAAGACCACCTTGACTGGGCTGAACTATAGCTGTAGGTTTTACTGTATTGGTCATTGGAAATGCTATTCTCTTATTAAGGTTAAGTTTGCTCTTATTTGTGCCTTGCCCTGTTGGATTGAATTGCATCATAGGGGGATCATTCCAACCTGGGTCACTTTGCCCTAATTCCATAAAAATATTCAAATAATTATCAGTGAGTTTTTCCGTTTCAGTAAACTTTAAAAACATTCATTTTTGTATCACTTTTTAATTTTGATTGATTAATTTATATTTTTATTTCGATCCAAAAATGTTTATGTTTTATATTCATTTAAACAAATTCCTTACCACGTTGAGAATTTAACGACTTATTATTGTCGGCCATTTAAATTAAGATGATTCTTTGTTTACAAATATTATTTATCAGTGTTTTTCTTCAAAATATTTATAATCTTAACATTTTGAGGATTTCAAGAACACAACACATCGTCAAATATATATGAAAATTTCATTTTTGCTGCGTTTTTCAAAATGACAACGTTATGTCAAAAATAATTAGTTTTGACATTAGTGATGAGAAAGTTAAAGTATTAATCGATTTTAAATCAATTTTTAATATTTACAGCCTTATCGTGTATCTCACTTGTTCTTCTCAATTTTTATTCACTTTCATGTCAGAATTCCAGACTTCTCTAATGAATATTTCATTATTCCAATAAGATTACTTATTTTTCAAATGAATTTTTGCATTTTTTTTTTCAAATTATCGACTGAATGCCTGACTTTCAAAAACAAAGTGAATAAATTTTGTATACATTTTAGAAAAAGGGGGAAGGGGGAAATCGGCTCTACCAACCTCCAAGTGGTTCCTCCTGGAAACTGATGCATCAGGCTAATGGGTAGTCCGTGCAGGGAGTAGAGAGGGGGACTTGTACGATGGGACTGGTAGCATAGCTATCTGGACTCCCACGTGCATGTCTCTTAATCGAAGTAACTGCAAAATCCAGAAGCGTCTGTCCCAGAATGGGCGGCTCCCTGGTCTGCGTCTCATCCCAGTGGGACGGCAGTTCTTAGACCTGGCAGTAGGGAGAAAACGCAACAACATAAAAAAAAAAATAACAATGAATAATGATATAAAACAAGTTACGGGACAGGGGATCGGAACCCCAGAACCGGTACGTGAAGTGAGCGAACGAGTGGGCTCCCACGGACCGTCATCAAGCGACCGCTCTGCACCAATGGTGGTTAACCAGGCCATGGTGCTGGATACAGCTACTGGATCAAATCTTCTAAGCAACTCAAATGTGGATTTACCAAATCCTTTTGCGAGGAGTAATAAACTACTCAGATCACCGAAAAAAACGAGAAGTCAGTTTCTAGCAGACCTAACTAACATTAATCCGCAAGAAAAGGTCAGCCACAAAACAAAAAGAAAAAAAAGACCAATGTCGCCTCATTCTAGTCCTGAGGAAGCATTCGCGGGATTTCCAACTACTCATAATAGTGACCAAATCAAAATCCTAAATCTCGAATCTCAACTTAGGAACGCCTTAGCAGAAATTCAAGAACTAAAGCGCACTATAAATGTTTTAAAAAAGAGAGACACTGAAAAACCAGATAACGAGGTCAAAGATGCGATTGGAGTCGATGTTGACATAGATATCGAGGACACCAACGTGGCCAAGGAAACAGCGTGGATTTTACAAAAAAACAAAAAGAAAAAAGCTACTCTAGTAAAATCAAATACTCCAAACATTACACCGAAACCAAAGCAAAGGAAAATAAACGATAACACTATAATAACAAATTCGACCTTACAACGGAATATCCCGAAAAATAACCCATCTGTAAAGGCGGTTAGCCAGGATTACAAGACCTCAGCTACAACTCCAAAGGCAACAAAGCACATACAGACTAGTGAAGAAACCAAAACCAAATCACTAAGACCACCCCCGGTTATTATGAGCAATATAAAAAACTATTCGGACATTAAGGAAACCCTAAAGGCCAAAAATATAAAATTTCAAGCAAGCCTAATGAACAACAATCAAATTAAGGTTAATGTTCAATCTACGGATGAATATAGAGAGTTAACCAAATATGCAAATGATGTAAAAATTGAATGGCACAGTTACGAAAACAAACAAACAAGACCGATTAGGGTAATGGTCAAGAACTTACACCAATCTTGCAACCCAGAGGATATAACAAACGAACTTCTAAACGAAGGATTTAAAATCACCGAAGTGGTCAACAGATTCGTAAAAAAAAGACTTGATGACGGAAAGGTAGAGATAATCAAACTGACTTTATTTATGTTATCGTTCGAAAACACTGAGGATGTTAAAAAAATTTATAGCATTCAATATATTAATCACATGAAAGTTAAAATCGAACCTGTCAAATCCAACAAACTAATCCCTCAATGCAAACGTTGCCAAAGGCACGGCCACACACAAAAATACTGTCAGAGAGGTCACATTTGTGTTAAATGCGCTGGAAACCATGCAACCATCACATGTACCAAACCAAAAAACACCCCGGCAAAATGTTCAAACTGTGGACACCCGCATCCTGCAAACTACAGGGGGTGTATTGTCGCTAAAGAGCTCCAAAAGAGGAGGTACGAGCAAATTTATAACAAAAAGGTATCGCAACACAACCGGCCCAATAAATCCGCAAACGTTATACCGGGAAGGTCATACGCTAACGTCGTGTATGATAAACATAGCGATCAAGATAATAACAATAATAATATTACAGAAATGCTTAACAATGTTATGCACATGTTCGAAGTTTTGTCAACCAGACTTGACGCTATCGAAGCAAATACAATAGGAGCTGTAGCTCTCCCGCAACCATGATGACTCGTAACGACATCAGAATAGCAGCCTGGAACTCAAATGGAGTAAACGGCAAACTTCACGAATTCGAAGTCTTCCTGAACACGCAAAAAATTGATATCTGTTTATTGTCTGAAACCCATTGGACAAAGGAGTCATTCAAAAAATTTACAGGCTATGAAACGTATTCAACTCACCACCCGGACAATCAGGCTCAGGCAGGTAGTGCAATTGTTATCAAGGAGAATATAAAAATTTACGAGGTATCCTGTATTCAAAAAAAAGATATCCAGCTTACAATTCTTGGTATCAAAACTATGCAACAAAAACTGTCGGTCGGTGCAATTTACTGTCCGCCCAAATACGATTTAAAGAAACCCGATTATCTGAATATTCTTCAGGCTATGGGGGACAGATTCATTATAGGCGGCGATTTTAATGCCAAACATGTCGACTGGGGTTCCAGATTAACAACAACGAAAGGTAAAGAGTTAAGAGCGGCAACTGCTGAATTGGGCTGCGACTTACATAGTACCGGTAAACCAACGTACTGGCCCACAGATCCCAATAAAATCCCCGACTTGTTGGACTTCTTCATCTGTAAGAGAGTGTCCTCAAATTTCATAGATTTGAAGGATAATTATGATCTGAGTTCTGACCACTCAGCAGTCATTTTAACACTGAGCGACAAAATTATTTCTAGGGAAACTAAACCCATGTTGACTAACAATTCCACGAATTGGTGTAACTTTCAAGAGCAGTTAGAAAGGTCAATCAACTTAAAAGTTAAACTTCGCACGACGGAACAATTAGAAGATCAAGTAGTAAAGTTCACAAATGCGATTCAACAAGCTGCTTGGAGCAGTACGAAGGAATTGAGTTTAAAAACGATAGGAGTTAACTATCCCATAGAAATAAGAAATTTAGTCAATGAGAAAAGAAGAGCTCGAAGAAGATGGCAACATACTAGAGATCCCTCAGACAAGAACTTACTTAACCGCAAAACTCAACAATTAAAAAGAGAAATACGCAAATTAAAAGAAACATCGACGCAGAGTTACCTGGAAAAATTATCGGCAAATGAAAAAGGCGAATACTCCTTGTGGAAGGTCACAAAAAATTTAAAAAAACCTATTTCTCACATTTCTCCAATCCGGAGAAACAACGGAACTAGGGCGAGAAATGATGAAGATATAGCCAACACATTTGCAGAACACTTGGCAAACATTTTTAAACCTAACACCTATACCCAATACTTACCTCCAAACAATAATGTATTTCTCGAAAATCCGCACATTACTCTGGTTACCCAAACTGAAGTTAGAAATGAAATTAAGTCCAGCTGTAAAAATAAGAAAGCCCCAGGATTTGACCTTATTACAAACGAGATCCTTAACAACCTACCAAAAAAAGCGGTAACTATGCTAACTTTTATAATAAATGCAGTTTTTCGCTTGCAACATTTCCCCAGCATGTGGAAAGTGGCAGAGGTAATTATGTTACAAAAACCTGGAAAGCCGCCAAACGACGTAAAATCCTACAGGCCCATTTCACTCCTGCCATTGATCTCTAAGGTTTCCGAAAAAATTCTTCTGAGAAGACTAAAACCAATTATCGAAAGTTCAAATATCATCCCCAACCATCAATTTGGCTTTAGGGAGAAACACTCAACGGTTGATCAAATTCATCGCATTACAGATGTAATAGAACAATGCTTAGAAGAAAAACAAATTTTTTCTGCCATATTTCTCGACGTAGCCCAGGCATTTGACAAGGTGTGGCATGCGGGCCTTATGGTCAAACTTGGCAACTGTTTGCCTAAACAGTATGAGAGTCTTTTAACATCATATCTGTATGACAGGGTATTCAGAGTAAAGGTAACAGACGAATATTCAAATTTGTACAACATCGAAGCGGGAGTTCCACAGGGTAGTATCCTGGGCCCCATCCTCTACCTATTGTATACATGCGACCTTCCGGTACCAGAAAACGTTGTTGTGGCCACCTTTGCTGACGATACAGCTTTGCTAACAACCGATGCCGACCCAAATAAAGCAGCAAGCAAATTACAAAAGGCCAGCGACCTTGTCTACGATTGGACAAAAAAATGGAACATTAAATTAAACGAGATAAAGTCAGTTCACATCAACTTTACAAATAAACATATAAACCAGCACACACCTATCTACATAAACGGCACAATAGTCCCATTCCAGACAACCGCAAAGTATCTAGGGATGACTCTAGACACAAAGTTAAAGTGGAAAGAGCACGTCAAAATAAAAAAAGCCGAGCTAAATCTGAAGTACAGCAAACTTTATTGGCTATTGGGTAGAAACTCCAAGCTTTCAATACGTAACAAGATATTGATTTATAACCAGGTAATAAAACCAATATGGCTATACGGCGTACAACTTTGGGGATGCGCAAAGCAGACACATATTCAGAAAATACAACGGTTCCAAAACAAGGTTTTGAGAAACATGGCCAACGCACCTTGGTACGTTCGTAACTTCGACCTTCACAGAGATTTAAAAATTAATTTTGTCAAAGATGAAATTGAAATTGCGGCCAATAAGCATAACAACAGGTTACGAGATCACGTCAACGCTGAAGCCAAACGGCTTCTTGACGAGTCTCATATCACAAGAAGACTC